TCACGCAACAATACATTTTTCCTAGTGTAGGCAAGGCGTACCGATAAGAACAGGGTGAATCTAATGGCGACGGCGACTAATTTGATGGACAACGCGGTGATCTGTCGCGTTGCGCGTCTCTGCTTTGCGTAAAACAAGGACCAGCGTAATAACGCGAGTGAGCCGCGAGGAGAAAGCAAGAGAACTCCCCGCGGGTGTCAGATCGCATCTGACATCTGCAATCAACAGTCGTATAGTTCCAGTGACGTCACGTCCGGTCGTGTGTGCCGACTAAGCAGAAACCGCGTAACCGAACTCTATCTGCAGGGAACGATTTCGTAAAAGGAGAGACACACTGCCGCGAAGCACGTGTCGCATCGGGACACGTCGTATCAGAGCACGAACATGTTTCAAAATAAAGAAGGACCGAGTACGCGGGTCGAATACGGCGGGAATAAAAGGGAGACGCGGCCGAGAGAGAGAGAGAGAGAGAGAGAGAGAGAGAGAGAGAGAGAGAGAGAGAGAGAGAGAGTTTATGCATCAGTCAGATCAGTAATAACGCTTAATTGCGGCACGCTCGTTGATTAATTCGATCGACCTACTTCTATCGCTCGTTCGAAGACGAGGAAAGATCCGGAGAGATCAGATCCGCTTGATTATGCCACTGCACCGAAAAATCAATCTTCCTATTAACTTTATCGGGCAACTTTATGGTTTACTTCGTCATCGACACTTGAGGTTTTCGATCGAGCTAACAAAAAGTTACAAATCGCTTCAGCAAGCAGTTAATTATCTTGCAGTCTGCTTTCGTAGCAAAATAGTTGTGCGTCGCATAATTTTGCGTCCTATTAATAAACTCGCGACTATAATTGCTTGATGCGCATTATAAAACACACGCTGCGCATAATATCCTATGAATAGAAGACAAGCTGCGATATTATAGCGTCTCGTAATTAATAAACACGGCGAATGATCTTCAATCTAATCCCCGCAGTCTCCGCCGATCGTAGGGAAGAGAGATAAATTTTGCAAATATCCTACGATACCAATTACAACATTAGCAAACATCGAAATGATATTTTCTCTCTCTCGGAAAGCTATCTTTACTCTCGTCTTTTAACCGAAGCGGAAAGGAACTGTTTTATCGGATTCACGCGTACTTTATATTAAAAAATTACATGGTGCGATACACACAAAGTTACATACTTGATATAAAATTTAACCCCGCTGCACCAAGTATTAATTAACCTCAAGTCATTGACTGACGTTGACGCGATCCCGCCGCGTTGCGCCAATGCCAGTGCAATGAAGCGCAATTGTAAAATTTTCAATTTTAACAGTTACACAGTTAATGACTCGGAGTAGTTATTTGCGACAATTATGCCACGTGGGGATTCTAATCGTGTTTGCCTCACATGATAGCCGCTAGAAAAAAGCATATAGCGGCGATATCGTGCAAACAAAATATGTCTCAATGATTTACATATTAGTTATATAATTCCGAAGCATCGCGTGTAATCATCTAGAATGTAGGATTGATTCATACTTTAGTCGGACGCAACCGAGATTACACGTCATCGTTAAATTTAGAATCAAAACACTATAACGCGTTTCAGAGATAAATTGTTGTTTGTTACAAAGGCCATCCTGACAAGATCTAAAAGTAAAAGTATTTTCGTGTCTTCTTTTCATTCAATGTACATAACATTATTACCAGCGATCGCTTCTCATCTTCATTTTATATATTTGATCTGAGAAAATTATTTTGTAGCTAAATTTAAACCTTTCTCCACGATAATAAAACCGCATGTGCGTGCAAATTACAATATCTTTCAATTATTTTAGAACAAATATTTCTCGATAAAAATGTAAAAAAAGACGAGTCAATCGTAAAAAATTGAAATCTTAAAGGATTAAATCAGAATCAATTAATATCTCTAAAATATAATCAATGAAATATAACACGTGCGCGTGAAGATTGATGAGCAAACTACAATCCATACTTTTACGAAGCGTGCGTTGCTTCGATCGAACATATTTCTTCCTCTTCTTCTGCTCCTTTTCCTTCTTCTTCTTCTTTCTGGTTGGCTATCTAACCATCGAAACATACCAATTGAACACGGATTCGACTTGAACTGTGGTAAAATCCAAGACTAAACTTATCATCATTAATCCCGTTAATCAACTTTGGATCAGCCAAAACTCCAGCCCCTGTTACTAATAACTGCCTTAAGATTAACGTTGTCCACGAAGCGCGCAGGTTCCCGTAAAGAATTACCGTCCCGTATCGAACGCTCGCACCAGAAGGGACAGTAAAAATCACAGAGTGCGATGCCACTTCGGTAACACCAACGTCGTGGAAAAAAAAAGAAAAAAAAAGAAAACGGGGACGAGAGAGACGGCGAGCAGCGTACGGGGCCGCGATAGGGCAAAGGGTTAGGCGAACAAACATCGTTAATTCGCGCGCGCGGATTTCAGCCGCCCCGACCTGGTAGAAGCCAAAGGGTCAACATTACCGCGGTTACATGTATGCGCAGCAAATACTCCTCTCGCCTCGGTACGCACTCGACAGACCAACGCTGAGTCTCCATCGGTCGAGTCGCGGGGTCCTGGAAGGCAGGAAGGCAGGCGGCAGGCAGGGGTCACCCCTTCGATCACGAACCTAATTGTCTAATTGGCAAATAAATCCCCATTGTTTTCCAATCGCGCGCGATCGATATGCGCCCGCCGACAGCCGCTTAACCACGCGCTCGTTTATCCGCTTCTTTCGGTTAGTGTGGTCCTGCAGCGAGGGCTCTTAGGTGCTGTCGAGGTCGAACGAGTCAGGATCATGGGGATCATGTGTGACGGATACTTGACATCATGGGTGTCACCCAGCCGCTTGCGCATCAATCGGTCAATTGTGCACGAATGCAGCATGTGCGCGCGATGGAAGCAGCGAAAGGCGGACAGCTCCGCGGGATGCCGCTACTTCGAACTCGATCGCGAGCGAAAACAGCCGTTCACGCTGCGATTTTGCGGCTATTTCGTTCCGTGCTTGCAGGCGCGCACTTACATGTACCATAGCTTACATCTCACATCTAAGAAACCGGTTGTTCCAACTCCTTGGTAAGTTAACTGATAGTTGAATCAAATCAAGTCTGTCTTTGTTTAAATTATTAAATATAATTGAGGAAAAACAAAGATAAACATATGATTTAACTATCAGTTAACTTACCAAGGAGTTTGGAACAACCTGTCCCTAGTTGATACCCAATATACCCAAGCCAGTAAACGAGGAACATTAAATCAACACGTCGAAACATCGATCTCACGATGAGATCATGCGAATGTGTCTTCACTTGTAAAATATTTCTTGTAAATATTTCAAAAATATTCCCGGATAATCCGTTCTTCCCCAGATATCGCAAAACATGTTTCAGAAACATCGAAGTGCCGAAGTTGTTCACGTGGTTTTGCATGCAACGGTGAGTATTAAGAAACGGTACGCGCTGCCGAGTACGTACTGTCGCGACAACGACGTTCCGTCGATATTTTTCGCTCACTGAGGACACACAACTGTACAAAATATTTATTTACATATCTATAATTATATATCGTGTTTAAAACATTCGGTCTGCTATTGCAGAGCAAACTGCTGCGTAATTTGTCGTCTGGTTGCCATGGTATCTGTTGCGAAATGTGCAAAATGCAACTTTGTAACTACACACGATCTATTTTTCATTAATCTTATTAGTCATTGTTAAACCGCGTGTAGCACGTTTCACTATTTATCGTACGTGCGAAGATCGCGATCTGTGTACCACAGTACACCATTAAAGTTCCCCGCTGTGGTAAAGCACGTCTCGTTAGAGAATGAACTAATGCTATAGCGAATTGGAAGGAGGCAGAGTCGAACGATTATCGGACAATAGTTTGTTAGTGAGGTTCACCTGCTGTATTGTTCTCGGAGAGAAACGTGGATTCAGCTCTAATACGCGATTCATTCTGTTTCTGCGTGTAAATCAAACGACACACATCTATCTCACATCCGAGGAGTCTCTTCGAATCCTTCACGTTATTCTTCGTAGAAAAGCGATCTGAACACGATTCATCATTCGACGGAGCTATGATTCACGGTCGATTCGCATTTCGCTAATTTCATGGACATAAAATACTCTCATGGCCGTGTATGGTCGAAACTCAAGGTAATATTCAGGTAACAGATCATTTTATTCGACGGGGAGACTACTTCAAAATCGACATAATCCGTAAACTCAAATTAAGGTAATTGCAGCCAAAAATTATTGCCCAAGGATCACATATTTTATTCTATTTGAAATTGTCCTCGCGAAGATGTACTTACGACGATATACTTATTGATCACATTTGATTATTTTCGTATTATTTCTGTCGAACTAGCCGGAAAAAATCGTTCTTTCTTCTCGGCCATCGTGGCATAATTGATAACAAAGATATGTCAGTCGTTGGGAGTTAATTTTATAAAGATAGTTATTTGTAAGGTTTTCATCTGATTGTATAGTTGTTATAAAATATGAATAAAATTTGTTTCCAATGTCTGAAAATAAATTTTATAAAATGTTGGAAAAAAAATTTAAGTTACCGATAGATTTTAAGTTTTATATACGATAAAACACGATAATTTTTGATGCATTGATTCAAGAAAATTGACAAATCCATGCGCACGATGCTGCAGGGCAGCATCTGAAGAGTTTCGGGTCTGTTGATTGCTCCAAGCAACGGTGGATATCGGATGACAGCAAAAGGCGGAGTTACGTTGCGACCAGCGAATAGTGAGGCCCATTTGTACACGCAAAAATGTAAACAATAAGCAAACTGACCAACCGCAACCAACCGTTCTTAAATCTTGAAGAAAATAATAAACTGTGATTGTTGGTCAATATATTTGCTGCTCACGATTTTGTGTGTACCATAGATGTAACACATGCAATCACGGACCGCAAGCCTATATTCACCGTTGCCAGGAGATGAGAAACAGAATCAAAATGAAATTGTTCTCTGTACATAATTGTTATATATTTCAATATTTTTCTTTAAACCTTTCATTCTCACAAGCTGCGTACAATTAATGCAAAATGATGGATATACTGATGATTAGACGAATGGAATTATTCTCCAATAGTTAACCATTTATCCGTTATATTTTCTATTTGTTTGAAAAGGACTGGATTCCTCAGACGAATCTTCAACTCCAATTTTCCTCCTGTTGCCTTCCTGCCGTCCATAAGCTGAAATAACACGGAGATGTATTTTTGTATTCTACAAAAAATATAAGAAAATAGTATATACGGCGTTTTGGATTTTTACGTACCGGGAAAGAATCATGCAGGGTACACTGGTTCTCTAGAGGTTGCAATTTAACCATCACCGTACCAAGTAGACTGTCGCTTCGGAAGAAACCTCTGTAACATCGTAAAAAGACATGGCAAGTGTATAGAAAACGCAGATATTTGAAAGGATTATTCGTAAATTGCAAAAATTTAAGTATACGTTGTTACAAATTGTTTAAACGATACAAATACTTGCGTCAAAAACATTCTACAATACAACAGTCTACAATATGAGACGAGACTATAATACTTTTCTAACAAGGATGAAAGTATATTTCGACTTTACAGATATATTCAATAGATTTGCGAAAAATAGTTCATAAGAAGAAAAAAGTTTCTCAAATTGTTCAAATCATTGCATCACTCACGCACAGAGGCACGTGATTCACAGACATACACTTGTCTAAGAGACGACATTGGCTAATTGGACTTTACTTGACAATTCCCATTTTATTACGTGTCGCAAAAGCGAACATAGAAAGCACAAAATGGAACGACACTTTCTAAGATTCGAGAAAAGAAAAATTCTCATATTGAGCTGCGCTAAAAAATAGACGTAAATTTATTAACGTTGTATAGGTATTCTTTTCTTGTCTCTTCCCCTCCCTCGCGCATATAAACGTCTACAACCACTGCAGCTTCTTTTTATAATAAATTGAAAAAACAATATATAATAATGCCACAACGCTTACAAAAGTGCTTTCGAAAGCTCTTTGTGTGTAATAAGCTGCATACTATACGATACTATGGAGAGATGTCGTACCTGGGATGAGTGCAACACAGGATGGGATTCAGTGAGCATCTGCAAGCAACGTTCTTACTTTTCTGATATATGATAATTACATTGCCAAATTTTCTATACCTTTATAATCTTGTTAATACCTACGCGGGATTGATTACAAATTTATCATCGCTTTTTATTTACAAGTCTTTTTTTATCAATTTATAGTTCGTCTCTCTTCTCATAAGAATACGACTGAATCTTTAAGTTATAAGAAATTAAGAACAAAAACTTAATTATAAAACTTACTTAAAATTCGAACAATATTTCGTATTGGAAGTTTAAAATGTTAGATCAATTGTTGATAAAAAAAATGGATTATGTCTTGTAAATATTGATAGATAATGTCCAAATAGTACTACAAAGTTAAAAAATTTTGCGATTGTTTCTTAAAATGCGCTTTTAGGGGAAGAGAATATTATTTTGCAACTATCCGCCCGCGCGTGTTAATAAAAAAAAAATATATATCTTTCATAGCAGAATAAATTGGTATATAACGAACTAAAAATGTTCAAATAAAATGGATATTAGTATTAGACGCTATTAATCAAATTACCCTTTTGCCCAAACTTCACATTTTAGGGCATGTCGTTTGAATACTCTCTGGCAAGGTCTAGAAGTGCGGTTTATAATCCCATTTAAAGGAAATACCGCCTGATACTCGGGATTAGTGGAAGCTCTAATCGTTGACGTTCTATCCGTAGGATGGCTGTCTGTTGGAAATGGAAACTCAAATATAACGTACGTATCTGCCTCTCGAGGATAATTGATTCCTCTAATAATAGAAATCTCAATGTCGCTATCATTCAGATCCGTGCAACTCCTGAAAAGAAATGCGACAGCTTCGTGTAACAATTTTGACAGCATATTATTGCACATCGCGTTTGACATTTTTGTATTAGTGATAAGAAAGATAATTGTATACTAACTGTACTATTTGATACGTTTTGGTTTGATAATGGTGTTGTGGTGGCGGCAGTGAATTGCGTTTTCGAACTCTCAACATATCTAAATCTCGGGTATAGCTGAGTGCGAGCCGTTCCCACTTGTTGTATCCAGGCACGTCTCCTAATGCCTTTGAGTGATCGCGTGTAGATAAGCACCACTGTAACATTAGTTATTTCGTTGACAACTGACATTATTGTGAATTGAATTATGAAATTAAATTATGCAACTGACACAGAAACTGACAAAATTGACGCAAACATGTCTCGCAGCTGACATTTGCTCAATAGGAGCGAAAGAGCGATTTTTATACTAAAAAGCCCTTTAATTGAGAAATAGAATTTTTTAAATATATTGAATATATTAAAATATTGTAAGAATAAAAATTCGATGTGTGTGTTACACGTTTCAACCATAATATATTATTTAAATATTACCTTAATCTGTTTAATCAATTGGGCTTCAAGATTTTCATAAATTTGATTGTCCGTGCCATTAGGATCTTCTATTAAATCCTCAGCAGACACCAATGTAAAATTGTCATCTTTTTGAGATATACTGAGTTCTACTTTTTCAAGAGGCGACAATGGAATCGAATTCATATCAACAGGTAAGCCAGCTTTGCTGGCTTCTATTAAAGGCTGTATTCCCTTCGCTTGCCTGAGGTAATCACGTGCCAAGTCCATATCCCCATCCTTCTTGGCATTTAGAGCAGCTTGTTTCAATTCACGCTGCCGTAATTGCAACTGGATCATTTGCTTTTCCGCGCGCGATGTAATTCGTTGATTTGGTTTCTGTCCTAATTAAAAATACGATACAGATAATCCGTAAATATAGTGCTATAGTGCATTAAAATGTGTTAAAAATTGTGTTATAACCCAGTAATTACCTGGTTACCGATATAAAAAATAATATATACCGTAGAGAAAAACTTATATGTAAGAGATTTCACGATCTTTTTACCTGTTCGAGGAGGTGGTTTCGGTGCCACTTTCGGTTGCGCAGGCCTCGTTACAGAATCACTTTCAGGTGCCACAGGTTCAGCTGGCGATGGCGCAGCGACATTGTTACTTGGCGGATTGGACGACAACGGTGGAAAACCAGGTGGAACGGGTAACTCATCCAAAGGCACTGGTTTTCCACGAGCGTGCAACTTGACAGCATCCTCGAACTGTTTGCAGATCCTACCGTATCTACGCGCTTTTGAAATATTACCTTCAGCTTCTGCAGCTACTTTCGTTCTTCTGTATACTTCAAGGCGTTCTTTGAGAGCACCTCCGATATCCTCGAGACCAATCTTTGCTTCGGTTGAATCAACTTTCAACAAAAAATAATCCCGTTATTCCCGTACATTAATAATCCGTATTTTAATAATCCCGTACATACGTGCAAACATAAATTTATGTGAGTAAATTTCGTATCTTTTAATTATTAGGTCTAAATCTTTATACTTTATAAAGTGCCAAAGCGAGTTACAGTAACAGTTACAGTTAATAACATAAAAGTTTTATACTAAATAATAAATACAAGCACATATGTTTTTATGAATATTCAATCTTTATATATTTCTTCATTGTACATATGTAGAAATTAACAGTATATACAGTACATATCTACATCTCACCTATAGGTGGTGCATCCGTGGAAGCTTGCTGTTGAGCTTCGCTTTCTTCTTTCTCCGCTGACGTCGCAGTATCCGTTGAAGAAGGTAAAGTTGGAGTAGGCGGCATATCTGATAGATCGAGCTTTTCACCTGCAGCAACTGCAGCTATAACTATATCGAATTGTTTGGCAATTTTTGCATACTCTATTGCTTGTTCCTTGTTACCCGTCCTCTTCCAGGCAACTGCTGCGATCTTATACTTTTGCTGTTGTGTTTTTAATTTATCTAAAGCTTCCTGATCAACATCAGCTACCGCTTCAGAACTATCACCGGGAACAACAGGTGGTTCGTTGATTTCAGTTGGTGCTGCAACTTCATCTGGTGTTTCTTCTGCTATGAAAAGTACAAAATAATCAATATTTTAAATGGCCATTCTTATAAAAATTCTTTAAAACGAAAAGCAATAATTGGAGTGTTACATTAAAATGATTTTTATCCTTAATAACTTTTACCTATATTTTTAATTGTAGACTCTGTAATAGCAGAAGAAGGCAAGACTGGAGGAATTTCTTCTTTGTTTATATCTCTACCCGACTGTACAGAAGTTATCATTTCTTTAAGAGTCTTTACACCTCTATTATATCTTCTGGCTCTACCAGATTCCTTTTCATTCCTTGCTTTTTGTTCAGCCATTTCATAAATTGTCAGTCTTTCTTGTAATAATTTTATCAGTTCTTGAGTAGAATTACTTTCCTCCTTAGGTTCCAGATTGCTGGGTTCTTCTTGTTCTTCCTCTGTTACTTTCAACTCTTGCACTTCTTCCGTCGCATCATCGCCTGTGAGTCCTTGCAATTCTTTCTAAAACAATGAGAAATTTTGAGTATGATTAAAATTAATTATGATTTAGTATCAGCAAACATATATTATAATCCATACTAATAATGCAGGATCATCATCTCCTTCGGATAGCTCCTCATCACTATGTGTGTCTTTCATACAATCAGCTACCATTTCATCTAAATTTATATCTTTACCTGCAGCTTTACGTGCAGCTGTAACAACAAGCAATCTGTCACTAGTGGGTAATTTCTAAGGTTTGGCATATTTTGTAGAGGATACACAATTTATAAATTTTTATTAACATACCACTGCGTCTGTGTTTGTAGCCTGTATCATTGCCAGCTGCTAACGCAGCTAATTCAGCTTCTAATTCCTCATTATTGGCATCATCTTCCATCATATTACTGCCAATGTCGTCTATATTTATATCAGGTACTTCAAAGATGCCATACTATGAGGAATATAATCATTAATAGAAAACAAAAGAAAAACATCCATCATATTTTATTGTATAGCGTTTATATATAAACTTAATTTTATGAAAGGTAAATACGCAACATAGGTTGTTATTACAGATTACTTCTCATATTTGGAATGACTCTACTAATTACTGATAATTAAAAAATATATGAGATACATAATGCTAAAAAGGTTTGAACAGTGGCTAACTTTATATTGCGCATTTACCAGACAGATGACTTGATACCTGTTCTAGGCCGCCAATTTCTCTACGCCGCCCTTCTTTCTTCTTGCCAAACATTTTGCACTTTAACTGTAAGACGACGTAAACGCATAGATTTGACAGATACGTCAAAACTTACAGAAACCGTGATCAATGTGGAACTAGAGTGATGAATCAGTGTGTGACGGGTAAGATTCTTGCGCATACGCAGTGAAGTCGTGAAGGATTCAGTAACGTATAAGTGAACGTATGAAAATTAGCTTTGGTGGAATTAGGCTGGTAGACAAGAAATGGAATTAAGACAAATAGATAAGTACATTATGTTGTACATATTGATATTAATTAATACTAAAATATTCAAATTAAAAGCATGAATATTTAAGATTAAGATATAAAAATCTACCAAGAAATGAGAAAATTAGGAAAACCAACAACGGTACCATATTTTACATGTCCTAGATACTTTATTGATGCCGCAAACATCACGCATGTGTGACGTTAATCTGTTCGTAACACTAGCGTCATCTCACGAACCAAATGCTCAAACTAATGCCAGTTTAATCTTGACAAAAAACCTCACATATCCATTTCCAGATCTAAATTACATCATTTCGAAATTTTTCTTTTTACGTATAATTATAACAAAGCATAATATGCATATATACATAAGAAAAATGTTTAAAGTCTTGAAATGAATTTTTTTCTTTCCATCGAAATTTTTCTCTTCACTGGAAGTGCCCGCAAATAGAGGTGTCGCTGAAAAGATACTGACCCGTTATTTTGATAAAACAACAAGAATAAGAGCAGAGAGAAAAATGAGAGCGGCCACCGGCCGTATTTCGGAGGATACGGCTAGGCGCATTTTAGATGCGCCATCTGACCAAAATGCGCCTAAACTACGTCCGCTAGGCGCACTTTCGCGGTGATAAAAGTAAAATGCGCCTAGGTTCGTGTCCGTACTACTTCCATGCAATGGATAGTAGATTAGAAAAAGACAGACGACAGACAATCGTTCCGTCTTTGTCTCACTACTGAGCGGCGCGCGGCAGTAAACACGAGGCGAGGTAGCGGCGATCTTATCGCTAAGCGAACATCTCTCCGCTTTTCTTTCATCTTTCACGCTCCAGAGACATCAAAAGACGCGGTAGCGTCTCGTGTCAAGGGAACGTGCAAAGCGAGGAATTATTTTTCACGCACGCGAGGTAGCACATTAGAGACTAGACGAGCGTCGACATATTATCTGTTTCTTTCCCGCTCGTCTAACTTATTGACTGCGTGAGCCGCGAGATTTTTCTCGCTACTCCTATACCTCGCTCTTTCTCTCTCTCTCTCTCGCTCGTTCTTTCTCTCTCTCGCGCACTTGCTCGCTCTTCCTCTCTTCTCGTGTTCTTACGGCTTGGTTAAATATATTAATTCCATGACAATATATATATATAAATAAATGACACATATATAATGTATATGTATATAAAGAATATTTAGTATTAATGCACAAATAAAGAAGAGAGAATTATAATGAGAGACGAAAAGTTAATAGAAATCCATTCTTAGCCAATATATACATCTTTTAAAAATGATTTGTTATTAAAGTATATGACAGAATAATTTATTTATGCTAATAAATTTAAATTAAAAATTAAATGAAATGTTATTTGTTTTGTAAAAGATATTCCATTGTTACATTTTTCTTTTCGTAGCAAAAATAAATTTAGTCTAGTAAAAGAAGAAATTAGTTTTATTATCATATTTCAATTATTATTATTTACTTTTATTTAATTTTACTTTATTATTTAATTTTACGAATAGATAACGTGCATATTGTTGCTCAACGGAAACCGCGAGAAAATGGGGATCACCGTCAAAAAATAAATGCAAACTTTTTAATAATATAATAATTTTTTTACGTAAGTGTTTGTTCTTATAGTATAACCTGTTGAATTTTATTAATTATTAATTCAGCATGTTATAGTATAAAAAATATATTTTAATATAAAAATTAATGTAATATTAATTGTTTGCATTTGCAAGAAATATGGATAGAACAGGATAGGTTGCAATGATACATAGGAAGAAAAAAGATAGATGGATAAATAGATAGATAGATAGATAGATAGATATAGAGATAGATATAGATGGATAAATAGATAGACAGATAGATGGATAGATAGATAAATAGATAGATGGATAGATAGATATAGAGAAATAGATAGATAGATAGTTAGATAGTATAGAAAAAAAGATAAATAGAAATATAATTATCATTATTATTATTATTAATGTTTTCAGTTTCAAGAGAACATTCGCTTAAACGTAAGTCTTACTTAGGTCCAGTTTCACGACTTATATTATATTAACCGGAATATATTATACGACTTATATTATATTAACCGGAATATATTATACGACTTATATTATATTAATCGGAATATATTATACGATTTATATTATATTATTTTAACCGGAATATAATTCGTTAATATTGGAAGTACCGAGCGGTTATTTCTGATCGTTTCTATTTTTTAGATTAATATCCTGTTTCTTTAAGATTACAGGATTTTTGTTTTGAGGGTTTGTTTAATGTGATGTTTGTAAAGAATGTATATAAATTTCTACATATAAGATTAAAAATATGAAAAATATTGCAGTGAAAGCAAGGAGGTTCCACGGTGCGCACGATATCTCAATAACTATTTGACCAATCGACTTGCAACTTGGCAGCATTATAAAATAGACTTCTCTTTACCGTTTTAACTACAATTTCCAAGCTTTCTCCTTTGATATCTCCGCTTCTACTGGGAGTAGAGAGTCGCCACTTACGGCAAAATGTAGGATTTTGAGAGGACTTTAATTTGGTGCCAGAACCAGGCCTGTATCTCTAACCGTTTAGGAGATATCGAAGGTTAAAGTTTTCCAAGCTTTCTCCTTTGATATCTCCGCTTCTACTGGGAGTAGAGAGTCGCCACTTACGGCAAAATGTAGGGTTTTGAGTGGACTTTAATTTGGTGCCAGAACCAGGCCTGTATCTCTAACCGTTTAGGAGATATCGAAGGTTAAAATTTTCCAAGCTTTCTCCTCTGTTATCTCCGCTTCTACTGGGAGTAGAGAGTCGCCACTTACGGCAAAATGTAGGGTTTTGAGAGCACTTTAATTTGGTGCCAGAACCAGGCCTGTATCTCTAACCGTTTAGGAGATATCGAAGGTTAAAGTTTTCCAAGCTTTCTCATTTGATATCTCCGCTTCTACTGGCAGTAGAGAGTCGCCACTTACGGCAAAATGTAGGGTTTTGAGAGGACTTTAATTTGGTGCCAGAACCAGGCCTGTATCTCTAACCGTTTAGGAGATATCGAAGGTTAAAGTTTTCCAACCTTTCTCCGTCGATATCCAGCCTTCATCCGTCGATATCTCCGCTTCTACTGGGAGTAGAGGGTCGTCCATGTAGTCCAAAATGTAGGGTTTTGAAAGGGTTTTAATTTGGTACCTGTCCGAAGCCTGTATCTCTAACCGGATAGGAGATATCGAAGGTTAAAATTTTCCAACATTTCTCCGTCGATATCCAGCCTTCATCCGTCGATATCTCCGCTTCTATTGGGAGTAGAGGGTCGTCCATGTAGTCCAAAATGTAGGGTTTTGAAAGGGCTTTAATTTGGTTCCTGTCCGAAGCCTGTATCTCTAACCGTTTAGGAGATATCGGAGGTTAAAGTTTTCCAACCTTTCTCCGTCGATATCTCCGCTTCTATTGGGAGTAGAGGGTCGTCCATGTAGTCCAAAATGTAGGGTTTTGAAAGGGCTTTAATTTGGTACCTGTCCGAAGCCTGTATCTCTAACCGTTTAGGAGATATCGAAGGTTAAAGTTTTCCAACCTTTCTCCGTCGATATCTCCGCTTCTACTGGGAGTAGAGAGTCGTCCATGTAGTCCAAAGCGTAGGGTTTTGAAAGGGCTTTAATTTGGTACCTGTCCGAGGCCTGTATCTCTAACCGTTTAGGAGATATCGAAGGTTAAAGTTTTCCAACCTTTCTCCGTCGATATCCAGCCTTCATCCGTCGATATCTCCGCTTCTACTGGGAGTAGAGGGTCGTCCATGTAGTCCAAAATGTAGGGTTTGAAAGGGCTTTAATTTGGTACCTGTCCGAAGCCTGTATCTCTAATCGTTTAGAAGATATCGAAGGTTAAAGTATTCCAACCTTTCTCCGTCGATATCCAGCCTTCATCCGTCGATATCTCCGCTTCTACTGGGAGTAGAGGGTCGTCCATGTAGTCCAAAATGTAGGGTTTTGAAAGGGCTTTAATTTGGTACCTGTCCGAAGCCTGTATCTCTAACCGTTTAGGAGATATCGAAGGTTAAAGTTTTCCAACCTTTCTCCGTCGATATCTCCGCTTCTACTGGGAGTAGAGAGTCGTCCATGTAGTCCAAAATGTAGGGTTTTGAAAGGGCTTTAATTTGGTACCAGTCCGAAGCCTGTATCTCTAACCGTTTAGGAGATATCGAAGGTTAAAGTTTTCCAACCTTTCTCCGTCGATATCCAGCCTTCATTCGTCGATATCTCCGCTTCTATTGGGAGTAGAAGGTCGTCCATGTAGTCCAAAATGTAGAGTTTTGAAAGGGCTTTAATTTGGTACCTGTCCGAAGCCTGTATCTCTAACCGTTTAGGAGATATCGAAGGTTAAAGTTTTTCAACCTTTCTCCATCGATATCTCCGCTTCCACTGGGAGTAGAGAGTCGTCCGTGTAGTCCAAAATGTAGGGTTTTGAAAGGTCTTTAATTTGGTACCAGTCCGAAGCCTGTATCTCTAACCGTTTAGGAGATATCGAAGTTTAAAGTTTTCCAACCTTTCTCCGTCGATATCCAGCCTTCATCCGTCGATATCTCTGCTTCTATTGGGAGTAGAGGGTCGCCCATGTAGTCCAAAATGTAGGGTTTTGAAAGGGCTTTAATTTGGTACCTGTCCGAAGCCTGTATCTCTAACCGTTTAGGAGATATCGAAGGTTAAAGTTTTTCAACCTTTCTCCGTCGATATCTCCGCTTCCACTGGGAGTAGAGAGTCGTCCGTGTAGTCCAAAATGTAGGGTTTTGAAAGGGCTTTAATTTGGTACCAGTCCGAAGCCTGTATCTCTAACCGTTTAGGAGATATCGAAGTTTAAAGTTTTCCAACCTTTCTCCGTCGATATCCAGCCTTCATCCGTCGATATCTCCGCTTCTATTGGGAGTA